CAATCAGCATTGATCAAGACTTCACTGGAAGGAGAGCTCTGTAGCTCTCAAGTTGCAGAGGCGGTAGTCTGATACGAGGAGGAGGAAGATCGCAACTGACTAGAATGCGCATTGTTTCGACACAGACCCTAATATTGATTTCGATTCAGGATGGAGTTCATGACTTGAACAATGCTTGTCTATCTGATGAGGAAATTGTATGTCAAAATTTCAAAATCTCTGGGTTGTTGGGCTGGGCTGGGTTAGCCCACCCAAGTTGCAGCCCTACATACACCCGAAGCACATAGTCGCGAAATAACATTAATATTATTAGATGCACCAAATAGCTTGTATTCAAATACCTCAAGACATTGCAAATCAAATAAAAATGACATTATTAAGGGCAGATAATGGAGACATATGGATCGGTAACAGTAATGAACTCTTAATCCTAGTCACAGAAAAAAACATAGCAAAGTCCCAAATTTACCACGGTAATGGCCTGTCATGTATACAAAACTAGAAGCACTATCAAAACAGGTAATTTCCCATACCAATCTGACGCTGTTATTTTTGGTTCCGAAAAGTGAACCTAATCAAATCAGTTGGATCGACCAATCAAAATTCTTACAACTCAACCATCTACTTCAACAGATGAAAATAATGACATCTTAGTGTAGTCATCCATACTTCATCTATACTATATATGCTAATGGATTATAATTACGAGGAACAGATTAATATAGTAATAAGTAACTATAGTTTTATTTACCGATAACCACTAGTTTTAGTATAAGTGAATGTAGAGACCGGAAGGTAATATATTTTAGAGCTTAGTAATTCTGAAAAGAGAACAAGACAGAAACAACAGAACAAGAAGAACAAAAAAAATCAGTTTGCAGTGATGCTGAAAAAAATACCTTAAATTCGCACGTCTTCAACTAAAGGATTGCAATCGTTGAATATAAAAGAACTTATTGGAGTTGTCCATTCTTTAAAAATGACTTTGATATCAAGAAATGGCAAGACTGCTGCTCACATATTTTGTCAACTGCTGTATTACAGCAATTTCATATATCAGACAATAAGGCACATGCGAAGGAGAGAATCATGTTCATATGCATAGTGAACTGTGACATAGCCAATGCTCCCATAAGAACCTCCAAAATGACAAGAGACTCCCAAGTTACAATAATCTTATTTAGAATCCCCAAGATTTAATGATATTTAGATAGTTCGTTAACAAGAAGCAAAATTCACTTCCTGTTCTGCAAAATCTGAAACAAAAAGGCATGTTGATACTGTTAATTTTAATTTTAGTTATTATAAAAACTTTAAAAGGCAGCATATTTGTCTTACAACTAAAGTCTAGTATGTATAATTATTAATATAAGAAGATACAAGACAAGATTATGTATAAGGAAACTATTTCATTACCCATTAAGTTCCTACAAAATACATCTAGCCATTTTTGTCATATATGCATAGAATGGAGGAAAAAATAATTTTGTTTTATGTCCAGTCAAGTATGATGTAAATGTGTACAAAAAATAAAACAAAAAAAGTGGCCAAATATCTCCCATCAAATTTGTCCATTAGAGAATAAAAATCATCTGTTACCAAAGCAACCATCTTGAAGAACTGTCTGTTTAATCACAACTAATATAAATCAAGAACACAACTTAACTTCCATCAAATGAAAAAACATCCAAGTTGTCCAAAAGTTAACCAGCTCATAGCAACAAGATTTTATAGATTGAATAAACAAATAGAGAGAAACACATTGATATATTCTCCATGTTAGCCAACTCATTCATCAACTGAACTTGAACACTAGATGGCTTTGGATAGGTTTATAGTTGCACTACACAGTACTTTGAAGTCCTTGACAGCTGCTGGAAAATGCTTTTGATTGATTTATGTTGATTTGAAAAAGTATGTAGATTTCATTCAACCTTTATCAGTATCAATGTCAGGCAAATGACAATATAGGTATGAGTACGAGATATGATATGCCTTTTTGAACATTGTAAAAGATTAAAAAGTGCTTCATTTGGTTTTATTATTACTTCGAAATACTGAACTATCGATGTTCATCACCCTATGTTACATAAAAACACCATATAACTGTAGAATACGAAAAATTATTATGTAATACCCCTAATTTAAAAAGGATAGTCTCGGTATTATTTTAATAGTTTTAATTGCATTTAATTATTTAGTTATTTTCTTGGCTAATTGTTTACTTGTTTAATTGATTTAATTATTTGTTTAAATTGAATTGTATGTGATGATGTGTATTTATTTAAGAATTTAATTGTTTTATTTTTATTTTTATAGTTTTAAGGAATTGGATATGGATAGTAGTAATTGACCAATCAATTGGACTGACATGGACTACTTGGATAAGGGGTTTAATGGGTACGGATAAATTGGACTGACATGAACTACTTGGATAAGAGGTTTAATGGGTACGGATAATTACACATGTATATGTATATTTAATAAATATATATATATATATATATATATATATATATATATATATATATATATAAGGAAAGTCCTTTAATAATAATCTGATATATATTTATATATTATATATAAAAAAGAGTACACATAGATTATACGTAATATATATTTAAGTTACCTTTTTAGTATTTAAATTTTATTTATTTTTATTTTATTTTAGTTTGTCTTGGAATAGGAAAAGGATTAGGGTTATTTTAGTTGCCTATAAATATATAACTATAGAGTTGTGAAAGAGGTTAAAAAATATATCACGTACTATATTTTAGAGAGAGAAAGAAGGAAGAGGAAGGAAGAGGAAAAGGAAGAAGGAGGTTAGGGTTTTTATCAAATTCCTAAAGGCAAGTTTTAATTCTTCTCTTCTCCTTTGATTCATACCCTATGCATGCTAGATTAATTCTAGGGTTTTGTTTTTAATAATTAATTAAATCTAATTACATGAATTGGTTTGAGAATCATAAGTCTATGTGTTTTAGTAATGATTTTGTAATGAACTTGTATATTTAATAAATTAATTTTACAAAGAATAATTTAGTTTTCCTGAAAGAAGTCCGCCGAACGAGGTGAAATTGGTTGTGGCGTGAATTAGTTTTTTTTTCCTTCATGGTGACAGAATTGTGTTTCCTAGAAGAGCACGCCGAACGAGGCGCAATAAGTCTCTGGCGTGAATTGTTGTTTTCCATTGTGAAGTTTGTAATCAGATTGGCGTTTTTGGTTCTAAAGTGAGGAATAATTGAAGCAATGATGATATAATGAGTGTATTAAAGGAATAATTGAAGCAATGATGATATAATGATTGTATTAAAGTTATTAATGATGGAAATAATGATTGGTATTATGATTGATATAATAATTAATATAATGATTGTTATTATAATTGATATAATGATTGATATAATGATTAAATAATGATTTATTTATTTTATTTTGATTAAATAGTTTTGTATTGAATATTTTAATGTTAATTTGTTTAGGGTTGGAATATTAAATTAATATTTGTTATTTTTGGATTGATAAATCTATATTAAATATTTAATTAATTTAAATAGATTCATTAGGAATTTGAAATGCATTATTTTGTAAGTTTACATGCTAAGTATGAAATTTAATTAATTTAAAAAAAGATAAATTAATAAAATATTGTTGAATTAAATTATTTTAATCATTTATTTAGATTTAAATTAATTTAATCAGAATATGGAGATATACAATTCTGTTGATATGCATGTTAATTTCTTGTGATGTAAATTAAATGTATACTATTTAGAATTGATATTTTTACTCAAGTAAATGCAAAGAATGTGTTTATAATTTATATCATATTTATTGGGATTATTAGATGTAAATATTATTTACATTATCCTTGGATTGGAAACTGTTATTTGGTTATGTTATGGATTAATGCACCATTATGGGATGAGGGCATAGTAGGGATAGATTAACGTAAGAGTTAAGTCCTACCTATTTTTAATAAGGGAACGGATTAACCACAGTGTTAAGTCTTACTTATTCGTGTCAGGTCAACGGAATGACATATTATTAAAATAATAATTGGATAGTTTATTTTGATGGTTGGATAGGACGGATTTTACATATATAATTATACGCCATGATATGAGCTTGAGTCTCAGGATCAGTGGTTAGAGTGCATATATATTGCCAGGGATGTGTAGCTAGATATAGTGTAGTTGTGTACCCTGGTAGGTCTAGGTACCCATACCCACTATATGTGCGTTTTGCATGTTGCCTACTATTCAGGTTGAGACAACTCTATAGTCTGGTGAGGTTCCTTTAGTGTGTGTATATCTATATATGGACTATTTAGTTATTGTTGAATTAATTAGGATGTGTACGTGTATTGGGTCTCTATTTGGGATGTAGTAGATTTAGAACTTGTATGTGGGCCTGACCCACCATTATTTTTTTCAGGTGTTCGTCAGTTCCATTCTTAGAGATTGTTCGTGCTGAACAAAGACAGTCATTCACTTTTCCGACTCTACGTAGGACTCTTCTTCATGGTTTAATTATTAGTTTTTTTCAGTTCAGTTATTTCAGTTAGGATATTATTAGGGGTCCACAATATGGATTTCCGAGTTGTAGTTTTAATTAATTACTGGTATCAGAGGATTGGAGGATTTTAGTATGAGATTTTTAATTATTTTTATTTGAGAATTTTAAAATAAGGATTTATTATTTAGTTTCCTTCAGCTGATTATTTATTTAATTCTTTATTATTCTTTTTGAATTCAAATGCTTGTTTAAATATTAATTGTTTGGTATCTCTCGGATCTGTGCTCGGACTTGATCACCCGTGTGTAACGACTCAAAACTAATACTTTTTAAACAAAAAAAAAAAAAAAATTAAATTCGGCATGACCTCCCCTAAAAATAGGTCTATCACAACCTGTTTAATTGCATTTTTAACCTGTCATGGCTCAAATTCCGAATTCACGACAACAAAAGATAGTGATACAACCAACTAATCTAGACAATGCTTCAAACTAGGATTATCCATCCATTCATCAACAAGTTGCATATTATCAAATCCCCATCCAAAACATCATCAATTCTTTAGTCATATTACATGACAAAGTTCCACAAAATAATTATACATCTTTGCACTTCTAGTGTTTTACAAAATAATGGGGAATATACAAAGATACAAAAGTGGACTTCTATCGCCGTTTAAGCTTGAGGTGGGTTGTCATCCACCAGTTCCTTTCCAAGACCTGAAAAAAATATATATATAGATATAGGGGTGAGCATATAGCTCAGCAGGTGACACTTAAGACACAATTCTTGTGTCCTAGTGAATCCAAATAAAGCATAGGCCAATGGGAGATTGGGGACATGCATTGAAGGGGAAAAACAATTACAAGTACAAGTCAAATTCAATCACACACAAATGCAAATGGAGTGAGATGCAATGCATGCTAAAGTCACTCCCCGTTTTCATTCTCAAAACCATCACGTTCAAAGTTAATGTAACCCCCTTTGGTAACCCCGTCGCGACGAGAGGAGGATTGGCTACCGTCCCTAGGCCCTTGGTGACCCCGTGGCGCCGTCGAGGGGCCCGAATAGCTCAACCACGCTAGGGTACTCTCCCTAGTCCTCCCTAGGCTACATTAACCTCTGGCCCGTTGGTAACCCCGCAGCGACCGGGTTTGTCAAAACCAATTTTTTTTCAAAACATTCATTCCCAAATCCCCATTTTCATTTCAAGACAACCACTTCCCTTTTTCATGCAACCCAATGAGATGTAGGCTCATGTCATGATCTCAATATAATGACAAATGGGAACTTAGCACAATAATAAATAAGCATGTTCTCATGGCATCATTATAGCATGTTAGTAACCTCAAAAAAAAATGTAAACAACCATCACATAGACATACTTTTCATTCAACCATGTTATACACATTTACATAACTAGTATGTTGTCAATTAAATCATTTTAATCAAAATCAACAACAATTAAACATGCTATAACACACATAGAGGAGCATGATTCATTATAGAGCAAGATTCCATGGCTTAAGATGTCCCTACCTCACAATCCAAGCCGAAATCCCTAGAATAGGTCCTCCAAATTCGAGCTCCAAGGAAGACTCAAAACTGGAAATTGATAGTATGGATGCGTAGAGCTCGCTACAAGCTTCGTTTCGCCTCAAACGGTTCCTAAATCCGATGAAAGATGATTGAGTAATCAAACCTCAAAGTTTTTGTCTCTAAAATGAAAGAAAAAGAGAAGGAACCGAGAGGGAGAGAGAGAGCATACGGGAATGAGAAAGAAAAGAAGATTTCTTGACCAAATAAGTTAGTGGTGGGCCCCACTTGAAATTATTTTCCTTTTCTCTTTATTTTTTTGTCTCTAATTACACCACAAATACACAATTGCACCATACAAATGCTGCATCACCACATAAATTAAAATGTAGGAAATGTAACTGGACCCAACCACAAACCCGGATGGTAAAGTGAAAAGACGAAAATGCCCTTGCATTAACGAATTTTCAGAAAATTCGAAAATGCTGAAAATTAGAATTATCACACCGTGGCTCTAGAATCGAAACTTAGACACATATCCACACTCAATACACATAACTGAGATCTGATAACATAGGTGTTTGAAGTATTGCTTTCAGAATGCTATTCTACAGGCCTATATATTGATACTTGGGTATAATTTATAGATACTTGGGTTAAAAAAATTATAACATGGCCCCCCAAAAATAAAATATTGTGGCCTTCTCAAATTCTTAATTAAAGCTTGCTGCAGAATCATGAGGGAATGTGTGCACATCAGCAATCTCACTCAAGAATGTGAATCACGGGATTGGGTCAAACTCAATATCTGTATGTTACCGCCAAAAAACAAACAAATTAAGAAAAGGACTCGAAACCCACTATTTTATAGAAAATTATTGAGTAAAATTGGAAACTTAAAACTCATATAATTGAGCTGATTTTGACCTGCACTTAATTTTTGGCAGACCAAACAAATTATATTATACTGTATTCCACAGATAGGCCATTTAGCATCAATTCTATAACTGATTAATCATATATACTTCAATATATACAAGTTTTTTTACTTGACAAATATTTAACTCCCAAGAATTGAACCCTCGACCTTTTGCTTTGAATGGAGAGGAAATACTGCAACAACAAGTTTGATTTCAATATATATATATATATATATATGACTGGGATTGCTTAGATTCGTTAATGTTCTCTAAATTAATCAGGTAAACATAGTCCTGACGAGCCGTGGCCAACATGTCTTAGAGATCATCAAAGGGATTTCTTACCTTTATAACGAGCTTCCAAGCATAAATCTGCCTCATGGTCACCTCAAATCCTCAAATGTGGTTTTAGGTGGTACCCTTGAACCCCGCTTGGCAGATTATTCACTCACGCCTGTGGTCAACAAGATCACGCTCAACAATTCATGGTGGCCTACAAATCACCTGAGTTCACCCAAACAAAGAAGCATCCGTGCTTTTAGTTGTTACACTTCCTATAACTACAAATCAATAAGCATATAGTAATTTGATGGAAGATTCAATAATCATGTCGAGATACGTGATTACTAGACATTGTTCACATTTAATTGAACCCTTGCTTAAATGTTAACGTACAATAGACCCAAATCCTTTCTTGTGTGGGGATCCAGACCAGTGCACCAAAATAGTGCCGTTTTAAATATCCAAACATCACTATCTCCCTACTCCTAATATTTCAGAAAGTAGTTCCTAAATTGAAGATAAAATTAAGAACTTGGAAGATCTATTTAGCCACAAACAAATTACACCCTTCTAGAATAACATTCATTCACGAAATAATTTAAATAAATAAAGTACTAATAAAATCAATGATTCAAAAAATGCCCAAACATCAAAAGTTACCACTTACATGCAGTGACAATATGCATATGGAATCTGGGGAAAAAACGAAAAAGAAAACAGAAAAAAAATGCTCTCAGGGCTCCTACAAGTATCACATCTCTAGTACAGAAAGGAAAGCTAAGACTGAGTTTTTCTTTTACTCTATTTAAGATTGATAAATGACTCATATTATAGGTAAATAGGTAGATGACAAGGTGATACTTACTGCAGCAATATCTCCACCCAAACTATTAGGTCTAGGTAAATGTTCCTATATAGATGTAATATATTACTAATATATCTATATACCAATTTAATATGAAACAATGAAGAAAATGGAAATTACAGAATGTATCACTTAGACAAATAGCTGAAGCACAAAGTTATGAAATATCATTATTATTAGTAAATGCACCAAATAACTTGTATTCGGATACCTAAAGACGCTGCAAATAAAAAAAAAAAATGACATTATTAAGGAGATATAATGGAGACATATGGATCTGTAAAGTAATGAACTCTTAATCCTAGACCTAGAAGAAGAAAAAAAGAAAAGAAAAAGAAACACGAGCTACTCTCAAATTTACCACAGCAGTGACCAGTCATGCATAGAAAACTCCAACTTAATCCACAAGCGCTATCAAAACAGGTAATTTTCAAGACTAATCTGATGCAGTCATTTTTAGCGCAGTCATCTATATTTTATCTATGCTGTATATGCTAACAGACTATAATTATATGGAACAGATTGATATAGTAGTGAGTAATCTTCATGTTATTTATTGTTAGCCCCTAGTTTTAGTATAATGAAGTTGATTCACTGGTTACATAATCGTCCCCCATAAATGGAAGAGAAATTTTCACAACTACATCAACATCACAGAGTACAACTCCCCAAATGCACAAGCAACTGAGACAACTCTGCAATTCCTCCTTAAAACATCCATAAAGCATAGAACTCCACCAACTCCTTCGCATACATACAACATGAAATATTTCACAAAATTATCAGAATGTTATTCACCTTGGAGGATGGTACTCTGGGATTTTGGTTGCAAGTGCAAGCCTCATCACCAATCTATGAGAAGCAAACAATTCTTTAGAGAAAACCATAACTACAAACCAATCAACGCTAACTCGTAACAATAAACTATAAATAAAATACTGCTATAACAGAAAGCAATATTGACTATTATCTCACCCTCAACACAATAACTACAAACCAATAAACATTAACTCATAACGGTAAACTCTAAATAAAATACTGCTACAACAGAACAGCAACATTTACTATTATCTCACCCTTTTCTGGACTTGGTTTGTCTGGAAAAGTATCATAACAAATGAAATTTATATGCTTCTTAGGAAGATAAACCATGAAATATTTTCTTATAATGTTTAGAGATCGCAAGAAAGCAGTCAAGAAGACTATTTATTGATAATCTCTTGCAAAATGATCGCAACAATGCTGTCAATGTTCAACTCGGTTTGGATGGACCCTGGAGGTATAGTAAAAATATGTAGGAAGAACCAAAACACCAAGTTATCCAGGCCATTTTTAGGTTATTAAACATTAGGAAATTAAAACGATTCTTACTCTTAAAAATTAGAAAACTATCATATTCTTTTTCAGATCCATTATGATTCTCAGTCACTCCACCAGTAAATGTCGTGAATTTTTAATGGAAGCTATTCAATCAATCCCAGCCAATTGCATATTAGAGGTATCTTTAGACACATTTCTTGATGACAAAAAGCTAGCTTGATTACTGAACTATTCTTGATTGCTCGAAAGATCATTAGATTACTGCAAATTTTCAATGTACAGCAAACAAATGATACAAAAGCTATTCAATTGAATTCTTATCTGATAAAACACAGCGATAAATAAAAAAATATATACAAAAATTGTCTTGTAAAATAGATGAAATTATATTTCTCAAAGTCCCTTTCACATCAATATCGTTGAAAATCAGCATATTTTAACCATGTTGTAAATCAGTCCAACAACAAAAGCTGCACTTTGTTAGTAGCCAAGAGCAGTATTTAGAACAATTTTGTGGGAGCAAAGCAAGAAATAAATTTCACCTCTCAATTTTGATTGAACATACATATCGGCAATATAATTTTAGTAGTTATGAAAAGAGAACAAGACGAAAACAATAACCAGGGAAAGCAAGAATAACAAGAACAGAAAATTTTAGTTTGCAGTGATGCTGAAGAATATACCTTAAGACAAGTAGCTAACCCATCCTAGATTGCCAAAAAATTTCACACGTCTTCAATATCAAGAAATTTTAGCCTGCTGCACGCATATTTTGTCAACTCCTGTATTATAGCAAATTTCTTTTATCAGAAAATACGGCACATGGGAAGGAGAGAATCATGTTCATATGAATAGTTAACTGTAACATAGCCAATGAAAACAAACTCCAAGCTATAGCCAACGATATTGAGATAGTTTATTAACAGAGAGCAAAATTCACTTTATGCTCTGCAAAATCTGAAACAAAAATGTAGTCTTTTGAAATGACCAAAAGGGTATATATGAGTTCCCAGAAGCATTCATCTGCAGAAATAGCCCAAATGACTGTTGAAAGAAGATATATTCCTGAATCAAGTAGGATAAATGGAAAAGTGATTCATATTCCTGAATCAAGTACGATAAATGGAAAAGTGATTCATATTCCTGAATCAAGTACGACATATTCCTTTTTGCTAGGTGATTGAAGCAAATGAGAAATAAGGTTTCTTGCAGGAGGATGTGATGAACAAAATTATATTCTTTTATGACTCATACATCACAACAATTAATCTTCACTATTTTATATTTTTGTCATGTTCCAATAAACATGAATTAGAGTACTACAGCTAATTCCAGACCAGATAAACTCTAGAATGGGAAAAAAAAAAAAAAAAATCATAAAATTTTCAAATTCGTTAATTTAACAATAGATTCAGATAACTTTATCTGCAGCAGAGTTAGGGGACAGGAATTGGAGGTGGGGAAGCAAGAGCTGGTATTAACTATTAAGTTCTGAATGAACAGAGATAACTTTTTTTTTAAAAAAAGTTATAAAAAGCAGCATATGTTTCTCATAACTAGAGTCCAGTATATCTAGTTAATATATAAGAAGATATAAGAAAAGATTATTTATAAACAAAAGTATTTCATTACCCATTAAGTTCATAAAAATATATCTAGTCATTTTTGTCATATATATGCATAGAATGGAGAGAAAAAATATATATTTTTGTTTCATGTCTAGTCAAGTATGATGTAAATGAACTTATCCAAAAAAAAAAAAAAACGTATGTTGTAAATTGACTTATTGAAATATATATATATATGATGTAAATGTGAACAAAAATAAAGATCAAACATCTCCTATCAAATTTATGTCTTTTAGAGAATAAAAATCTTCTATTATTTAAGAAACCAATAATCTTGAAAAAAAAAGGTCTATTCACTAGCTAAATGATCACAACAAACATATATGAAATATATATAAAGAACATAACATAATACTGGATGGAAAACATCCAAGTTGTCCAAAAGTTAACAAGCTAATAGCAAAATGTTTCTTTCAAATGATGCAGCAGAATGAGCATGAAATTGGATGCATGCGAAAAGAAGCGGGATTTGCCCAAAATTCATAAGGCTGGTGTAGTCACCTCTGTCCTGGGTCCGAAGACTTTGAAGCGTGGAAGGCAGCCCTTCCCTATGCAAGGGTCTGGGATATCACCAATATTTGCGAATTGTCAACGAGATCTGAGTCCGCGAGAATAAGTGGTACGAAATTCAATAAGATTGGGGGGCAAATTCCCATTCCCAATCCCTTGAAGGTAGGACTCTACAAATGGACAATTTTCTATTTCTATGGTTTCGAGGCTTCGAAGAATCTGATCAAAAATTGGCAACGACGTCAGATTTGAACAACTGAAGATACAAAGCGATCTGAGTTTGGGGGTGGACAAGCAGACTTCTCCTTCCGGGATGGACTCCAGACTTCCACAATTTCTTATTTCAAGGGATTGGAGGCTTGGAAGAATCAGGTTGGTGGTAGCAGCGAAGGATCGGAGATTCACGCAATTGCTTATAGCAAGTTCACTGAGGTTGGGTAAGCCTCTTTCGGAGAAGGACAAGCACTCCACAACATCGCAACATCGTATCCAAAGTCTACGAAGACTAGCGAAATTATTATTAATATTATTTACGCACCCCCCATTCCGAAGTAGTAACATTCCAACCTTCGGCCATCCCGAGATTTCTAGCTCTTGAAGTGATGACATATTCATATCCTGCTGCTGCTGTAGCATCATCGTCATCTCTAACACCTCCGGGAAGTACTCCAAATTCACACAACCCTCAATTTGAAGCACTTTAAGGGCAGTGGGTAACGTATCGGTAGGCCAAGACCTCAATGATGAACAACAAAAAATACTCAAGCGTTCAACACCACAGATGCCGTTCGGCAGGGACTTCAATGCATTGCATCCCTGTATTTCAAGATATTTGAGCATTGGTGGGACACCTGTCTTTGGAAACTCCACAAGTTTTGGACACTTGTATATCACCAATGATGTGAGAGACGTGAGGTTATGCAGCTCATTTGGCAACTTCTCAAAATTCATACAATCAAGTATATACAATTCCTGAAGATTAATGCAAGGCAGCCCTTCATCTAATTCTTCACCAAAGGAAACAAGTTGGGGACACGAACAAACACCCAGTCTCTTTAGACGGAGAAGATTATTTTTCTGTCTAACCCTCCCACCGTTTTGCCAAAAAGCCACCAGTTGGTTGCATCCACTGAACGTAAGACTCTCAAGTGCTCCCAGGTACTGCACCAATGCTTCATCAAGATGAAGAAGCCCTGTAATACTCGTAACATTCAAACTAGTTAGTGAGGTCACATCAACAATACTTTGTAGCACCGCCTCATCACACCCTCGCAAGAATAACGTTCGAAGAGAGGGAAGCCTTAAAAGTGAAATCCTATTCAACTTGGGACAACCATTTATTTTAAGCTCCCGTAGGCAAGGGAATTGTCTTCCAGCTTCTTCAACGCCAATACAACAATCCCATTCGTCCCATGCCGGCATGGACTCAAATCTCAAACTCTCCAGTGATGGAAAAGGGGGAAAACAATCCCCGCAGAACTCAACCCCCAAATTTTGTAATTCAGTCATTCCTTGAATGCATAGCTCTTTGAGGTTGGGTAGTTGCCCAAATGGTGGTAAAATTTTGCATTTTGGACAGTTCACAAGAGACAAGTTCACCATTTTGGAGAATGATGGATCGCCAATCCAACTTGGAAATTTTGTGCCCCCATAGAACTTAATTTTGAGCCTTTTCAAGTCTCCATGAGGTTGTAGCATGTTAAGTACATTCATTTCAAGGTTTTCATTTGGAAAATCATTGAAATTTCTTCCACACCATGCGAACTTTAATTCTTCAATGTTCTGCTTAGTCCTTAATTTTGCTTCATTTGCATCTTGAACATCTGAGACGTTTTGCAACTCTGTAATAGAAATACTTCCCCGTAAAAGCCTTAGATTTTTCAACTCTTTTAGTCTTGGCCCATTATGTTTGCCCACAACGAAATGGGACAATGTTTGCAAATTCGTCAATCTATCAATTCCTGAGCACAGACCAGTCCCATCAAATCGACCAGCCTTTGAGTACAGACCAGTCCTAGTTATGTCAAGATGACGTAGGTTAATTAAATTTCCAATGTTTGAGGGCAACATACAAAGATACTCGCAATTGCACAACAATAGTGTTTGTAAATGGTATAGATTACTGACTGATTCAGGTAACCGTCTGATTGGAGTCCCACATAAATTAAGATACCTTAGATGTATTAAATCACCAATCGAGTCCGGTAGCTCAGTTATGGCATAATTAGACAAAGACAACACCCTTACACATTGTAAGTTCGAAATTAAATCAAGCAAAACATCGTTTGCTGAGCTGTCACTTCTAGGATGTAAATAGTAGTCTGCTCCATTGCCAAACAATTGTAGAAAAGTTCGCAAATGTTGCCTTTTATAAGTAGGCCTGAACCTTTGAAGGCCATCAAATCTTTGACGAAGAAATGACAAGTGCCGAGCTCGTCCAGGAATTTCAATTTGCTTATCACCTACCAACTTATCTAACATAAAGCATATATCCCCAGCGATATATAGAGCTAAATCATTTAGAAGGTCGTGCATCACAAACCGTGATTCAAAAGCACTTGATTGTTGAAAAAATGACCTTGATAATAAATCATCAAAATATTCACTACCAAAATCTTCCATCTGCTTCTTTTCTGTTGACAGTGGCAAAAGACCTACCCCCATCCACAACAAAATTAGCTCCCCTTTGTCAAACGCATAGTCCTTTGGAAATATTGCACAGTAAGCAAAGCACTGCTTCAAATGAGATGGGAGATGATGATAGCTCAATCTAAGAGCCGGAAGAATATTACTTTGTTGTTCGGGTAAATCCCAAATCTTGCTATCAGATATATTCTCCCACACTCTCTGCTGTGATTCGTTGCGCAAGAGACCTCCTAGTGTTTTTGCTGCCAAAGGCAAGCCCTTACATTTATTCACTATTTTCTCACCAATTTCTTTAAGATGTGGATGTGCATCAAAGTTTGGTCTCCCGAGTGCATGATGAGCAAATAAAGATAGACATTCATCTTTGGACAACTCGTTTAGAGTGTAAGCCAGCTGGGACGGACACAATGTTGATGTAATTTTTGCAACGTTTCGAAGTCGAGTTGTGAGAATAATTTTGCTCCCAGGTGCCCCATGCATAAAGGGACGGCGTAGGACATCCCAGTCTGCATAATTGTCATTCCAAGCATCATCCAAAACAAGAAGAAATCTTTTCCCGGACAATTTCTCATTTAATTTTTTTTGAAGCATATTCAGAGTCTCCAACTTATTAGCGTCTGAAGTGAACGCCTCAAGAATGGCCTTAGTAACTCTGACAACATCATAATCATCAGAAACACAGACCCACAGCTTGGGATCAAAACAACCCTTTATGCGTTCATCATTGTAGACGAGTCGAGCCAGAGTCGTCTTACCAATGCCTCCCATGCCCACAATGGGAATCACAGAAACACTAACTGATTCATCTTCCTTCAACAACAATTGAAGGATAGCCTCCTTGTCCTTTTCTCTGCCATAAACGAGAGATTTGTCTTCCAAAGAAGTCGTTTCCCGTCGTCTTTCTGATACTGCTGTGGTGGACCCAATCCCTCCAACACTGGCTTTCAAACCCAGGCTCTTCTTTCGGATTTCAATACCTTGTAATCTTTCGGTGAGTTTCTCTACTTTGGACATCATATCGTTATCAAGCTTAGGAGTAGTAGAGTGCGTGAAACAAGTTTGGATGAGTTTTCGTACCTTACTAGGAGGAGAGATGCTACTGCTAGCTTCAGATTCTGCCTGGAGTCGCAAAGTTCGAGTGTTGAAATCGTCGAGCAAATCATCCAAGTCGTAAACCAAGTCGGTGAGATCATCCATCCATGATTTAACCCGTTTATCAGTTATTTGCTTATCCTCGGCGTCTGCCAGAACAGCACGAATCTCTGGCAACGTTTTCTGCAACTTCTCCAACTGAGCAACCATTTCCTCTTGACGACCATAGTTTGACTGCACCAGAGAGAATAACTTGTCACGCAGCATCTCAAAGATCGGCCCCAGAAAGATCCCCGCTACCTCCATGGATCGTTTGTCTCTGAAATAAATATTAGTAATAAGCAAAAAATATTAGTAATAAGCAAAAGAAGAGAGAGAGAGAGTATTTGAAAATATATGTTTGGTAAATTTATTTTTTATTTAAAATTGACTCTTTTAGTTACTATTAGAGTATAATTAAAAAATAATAAAATAATATTTTAATTGCCATTCAAGTATAATTGAAAAATAATAAAATAATAAAACTGACACATTTATTTACTATTAGATTATAATTGAAAAATAATAAAATAATAAATAACATTTATGTAATTATGAATAATAATAAAATAATAAATAATAGTATTTGAAAACCAAAACTTTATTTGGAGTTGTGAGAATTGTGAAGGAAATGACAACTAATTTTCAAAAATTTTGAAATGTGAAAAGTCAAAATAGACTTACCAAACGAATTTTGTTATAGTTGTTTTTAAAAAAATGAAAACTACAACTGAAAATCAAAATTGAAAACTTTACCAAGGAAGGCCTTAGGCACCTTGATTATCCATTATAATCGTAATATGAAGTCAATTAAACATACTATACCTGAAATTGCAACATTAGAATCATTGAAGCACCACTAATATACAATTTTGACACAAGGTAAACACTCTAATACAACCATGCACAATGAATCAACAAAACTCAAAAAAAAATTCGTAAATTTAAATAGGACGGAGCCAGAATTTTAATTCAAAGAATTTTAAGAAGAAAAAAGAAAAAAAAAAAATTAAGATATATTTGAAAGGAAAAAAATTAGAGTATTCAAAAAGAAAAATTTGACTTTTTTTTTAACAAAGTTTAAGAAATTTAAAGAACAAATATATAATTTTTCATATATACTAAAAATAAAATTAAAAATTAATTATATATATTCTATTGAGCGAGGCCAAGGGCACGCCCCCCTAAGCCTTAATTGACTCCACTCCTAAAATTTAAATATGCTACACACTCCACACCTGCTAAGGAAGTAAATCGATGAAAGTGCTCCAATCTCCAAACAAAAATAAGAGTTTTGTAAATCTTGGTGTTCTTATCCTTTTTACCTTGTGGCAATGCTTGAATCACAAGGGAAGTGGTGTAAATGGTGGTGAAAGGTTGAAGGAAAAATGAAGATGGATGAGAGAGAAGAGAGACACCGCTGGAGAAAGAATGAAATGTGTGAGAAAGAGAGAGAAATGTGTGGTTTGGTCTTGCTCCCTCTCACCCGCACGCACAAATATCCTTGGTCCCCAAATTCAAAGCGTGTCCTAGAATGAAATGTGTGAGAAAGAGAGAGAAATGTGTGGTTTGGTCTTGCTCCCTCTCACCCACACGCACAAATATCCTTGGTCCCCAAATTCAAAGCGTGTCCTACATGAATTCAAAATGGCATTAAAGCCAAAAAAATGAAGAAAAATGCTTATGAACTGTCACACAATGCCATAAATGATGAATGCAACATCAACGAAATAAAAGAATAGTGATGAGAAAAATCCTTGAGCACTTGACCTGATCCGATTTCACACAATTCGAAGGAGCATAGTTTAAATAATCAACCAATAATTATCATTTTTTATTATTATATTACATACTTTGCCATGGTGAATTTTATTTCATATGCCACAGCAATAACTGAGGCATTATTTTATTTTAGTTTAGTCTCGAGACATACATATTTACATCTGACAGTACCAACAAGGGTCAGGAGCCATCAACCCGTCCACATTCGCCTGCTTTTTAATGATCATGAATGAATCATATTTAATTAAGGTTTAAAATAAATTAGGTAATTTTTAACGAAAATCATATTTCACCCATCACATAATAAACACACAACACATATCATTCTATATTGTACTCAACTTATTTCTCTCTTTAAAATTTTTCCACTCATAATCTTCTTTCTATAAATTTGTCTCTCATCAATCACCTCTCTTTAAGTTTCTATTTCTAGAAATTTCTTCTAAAAAAAATAAATAATTAAAAAATAATTTAAAAATTAAAAATAAATTAAAAAATTAAAATTAAAATTAAAAAATTAAAATTAAAAGAACAGTGAAAGACGGGAAGAGTTGAAGGGCGACGCCGAAGCCTGCGGCTTCGGATGTGGATAGGAACGGGGGCCGGCGGTGGGTATTGCCGGTCCTCTGTGATCTGAGTTCGGCCAAGACAGATCCGGTGAAGAAAAGGAGGTGAAGGTAGGAGGAGAGAGGTTGGGATTTGCAGGGAGAGGATGGGATTTGGTTGAGGTAAGCTGAGGCGGCAGATCAGATCGGTGGTGGCAGAGATTGCCTTCGACACGGAGTCGCGACGGCAGAGATCTTATCTCTGTTGTTTGCTCAACTCGGTAGAGAAGATCGGCGGCGGCTAGAGCAGCGGCTGTGATGGCAGAGATCGACTTCGGCTAGGCAGATGAGATCGATGATGACGGCGGCAGAGATCCGTGGTGGCACCGGCGATTTCGGCTTCTAACCGCGGCAGTGCTCAGATGCTATCGGCTGTGATGGACGTTGTTTGGTGCAACGGCGGTGACGGCTATGAGATGGTGACAGGCAAGGCTGCAGAATCTGATGTGGCAATTCCAAATTAAAAAGAAAATTAAAACCTTATAAAAAAAATTTAAAAATTAAAAATTAATTAAAAAATTAAAAATTAAAAATTCCTTGCTACATCTTCCAAATAAAAATCTTCGCAAATTGTAAATTTTTGTGTGTGCGCGCGTGTGGAAAATTTCTCCGGCGATGAAACGTAACAAACTATTACGGCTGCATAACATAGGGGAGGGGCCTGAGGTACAGTAAACTCGGCCAAAATATGACACCCGAAAAGGGAAAAAAGCATCAGACATGCTCCGGTTCCGACTAGTTCCGCAACACCGGTAGAGGCACCAAAAATGTTCCCATTAAGTTTAAATAAAAAAAAATTAAAAATATAAAAATATAAAAAATTAAAAATAATAATTAATGGGTCCACGGGTCATAACGAATTGACCCTATCCGTTTTCAACCCGCCCATTTTTAACCCGTTCTTAATGGGTTGAATATGGGTACTAACCCATGTTGACCCGCCCATTTTCGACCAAATACAAACCCAACCCAACTCGCCCATTTGCCACCCCTAATTAAAAGTATTTACAAAGTTTAAGGCCGAAGCCCAAATACAAAAAGATAAAACATGACCAAATGAGCAACAAGGGCACAGGCCTAATCAAATAACAAAAGTGACTCATACTAAGTGTCATTGTAACCGTTAGTGATGAGATCACTTAGAATCGATTCCGGTGAGTGTTTGTAGCCGAATTAACGGCTAAGTCAAGCAATTTGGAGGGCGAGGAGGTGGTCTGCAGCACGACGGAAGGAGGTTCCATTCGTAGAGGATTGATCTCGAGGCTATGCAATCCTTTAGAAATCCCAGTCTTAGAATCAAAGTGATGGAGTAAGTGATCTTGGCTAGCAGTGCTCTTCGTGAGCAACTTCCCATCTTGAAGATTCTATTATTGCATTATTCCCAAGTATGATAGACAAGAGAAGAGAGACATATCTTCCTTACCAAATTTTATGGAGAATTGGTCTTCCACATGAAGCTTACTAGCTGCACCAACATGCTCCAATTTGTGATCATTGTTGAGAAGTGACACTTGTCCTTGATGAACCTCCAAATTGGTGAGATGTAGAAGCATGTGAAGAACAAATGGTCATGTGATTCCATTGCATTGGAGCAAAGTGGACACAGGTTTTGGAATTTGGTCATGGATTTGCAGTCAAGTGTTGGCAGTCTTGATTGGATTGCCAACCACAGATTGAATTTCATTCGTGGTATGATTGGGGAACTCCATACCAGGTTGAACCAAGGGACCTTATCAAGGTGCCCTGCTAAGTGAGCAATAATATGTTTGAAGCTGTAGCGTGTAGTAGGTGAAGCAGTCCAAAGCTTCTTGTCAGTGATAGCCGGACATGGAGGTTGTATGTGCAATAACTCTGGAATAAGAATTGTGAGTGACTGCGGAAATGACCTAGTGAAGCTTCTGTCTATGAATGTATCAAGAGTGGTGCTTTCATTAATGCCAACTGCAGTGAGAACAGAAGATGGAAATCGAGTGCAGAGTGGACCTCCTGGAGCCCTAATTGTCCAACCAAAATGATGTGTCAGCTCTATTACCAACCTTGTGCTTGATAAATAGCCTAGTTGGATACATTAACTGTAGTAATTTTCTCAAACTCCATGAGCATGTGTGTGGAATTTTTAGTGATCACAAGTTTATGGATTTGATAAAGAGAGAATTGCACCATCTAAAATTCTATCCAAGCTTCCCCATTGCAAATCCCAAGTGTGCCTCATAATTCCTGCTTTGTTTGCCTGCTATTAGTGGCATCTCTTTGAGAGGGTTCTAAGTTTCAAACAGGGTTCTTATACTATTATTTCATCATTTTAAAATAATTTTTCTATTTTTAATAATATCATTAATCTAACATTTTAACATTGAACCCACTGAGGTTAAAATAGAATAGTATAAAATAAAATAAACAAAAACCTTATAAAAGCATTTAGCTAAATCCTAACATATTAAGGATTTTTTATCTTATTTGACAATAAGATATGTGTTTGTTGTTTATGAGATGTCAAAAATTAAATAAGACCTTCCATTGATATAAAAAAGGTCCTGCTAGATATATATATATATATATTCTTTACTATTTAGAAATACATGAGAAATTTTACATGATGCCATCCTAAAACTTTCAGCAATTGAAAATTCTCTCTTAACTTTTTCTTTCTTTTATCTTTTTACTCTTTTAAATTCTTTGATTTTCTTAAAAATAAAAGTTAACTTTCCTTCTTCAATCAAACCTTAATTTTTTCCTACAACATTATATCATTTTTCTGTTCTTTTTCATTTTCTTCTTTTATTTTTGTTTTTGTTTTTTTCTTCTTCTTCTCCATGTCTGAAAGTTGTTCTTTTTGCACTTATGTATGATATATGTACTGAAATATATATTTTTTCTCTT